CCCCAAAACCCCAAAACCCCAAAACCCCAAAACCCCAAAACCCCAACCATAAATATAATATTTGAAATATTTAAAATGGATTCATTTAGACTCAGCCTAAGGGAAGAGTTTGAGCTACTCAAGAAAGATCTCAAAAAGCATCATCTCAAAATTGCTATCGACATGCCTTTTAACAACAAGGAAAAATTAGGAGATGAGCTATGTAAGAAAGACTTTGAACAATTGCTAAATCCTATCGGGTTGATTATTACAGTCAAAGCCCATAAGTTATTTTTCAGAGCAGTATCATGCCTACAGAAGATTGCCATGCTCCCTGAATCACATAAGACTGAAAACACACTACTGAGTTTACAGCTAATCTTGCCTATGTGTCAAGATGACGATATAGAGGAGATGGTTCAGATTAAGATGTTGCAAACTTTGATGCTGTTCTTATAGATCCTAAAAATGTAAAGATCGACAGACAAGTATTGAAATTGATTTTAGTTTGTATTTTCAAACTGTATGAGACCACTAGTAATCTGGTGAAAAATACAGCTCTAGCAACTTTGAGACAACTGTTTTCAATCATTTTTGAAAACCTATACATCGCTAGCCCAAACCAAGAGTCTTCTGAGCTCTATGAAACCGCAAAAGAACTAATAGAGGGTCTGTATTGTAATTTTGATGGAGAATATGAGAATAACCCAAACTGGCCGCTTGTGAACAATTATGAGAATAAATTGCTAGCTCTAGATTTATACTGATTATGATTTCAGTCTGCAAAAGAGAATTTGAATAAATTCACCGAATTCATAGACTTTATCAACGATTTCTTAGTCCCTGTCTTGCAAGGGTACCTGAAGGACCTTGATGATTATAAATTCGGAATTAGGCTAATAAGGCTGTTTAACTTTATGATCCAATATTTACAGATTGGATTACACCCACTGATGGAGTTTATGTCAAACTCCTTGGATGCTAAGCCATGGATCAAAAGAGTAGCCTTTGAATTATTCAGTACTCTTTTGACTAATCCCCAAATCGTGAAGAAGATTTGGGACGATAAAGAACTTCTTGGACACCTTGAAATCTGCTTAATATCTATTCAGAATTTTCTTGAAGCTAATAAATATGATCTCCAGGGTGAGGATAGAGTTGAAAACTCTAGAGGGATTCCAAAATTCCTAGATGCCCGTGTCATTGAAACAGATAAAGCTGCTGTAAAGATCAATGAGATGATGATACTCTCCATAGAATCCGTTACAGGGCTTGTTGAAGGGATATCCAACTTATTATTTCCAAACGGGTTAGACACTACTGCAAGTATATCTACCAATTCTGCAGAAAATGAGGTGAATAATTTCACTATTCCCTTTTCTGTCAGTAAGTTAATTCTCAGAATCCTTGCGATACTGCTGGAGAAATCCTTCAGAGATGTCAGCATCCAGTCGATCCTGAATGCTATTCAGGTTTATATAAACATAACTGGTATCAAGGGAATGAACAAAGAGAGAGACTCCTTTATTAGAGAGTTGTGAATATACTGTGCTTCATCTTCAAAAATTAATGACAAGGAAATCCTTGCTTGTAAAACTTTGTTTAATGTTGCCCATTGAATGCCTACTCTCTTGGATGCTGAGGGCTGGAGACTAGTCATGAGCGCTTGCCACAAGATAGAAGTCTTCCTTGACAATAACCTTAATAGGTCAAAGAGCAAGAGCGGAGTACCTGACTTTTACGAGATAAGAAAGCAGGTCAGCAAGAATGCAATGGATAATCCTGTAGTATCTGAGAAATATGAAGAAGAAAATAAAAAGCAGACTGTTCTAAGTTCCCTACCTTCACATGAGGTTGTTAGAAGCTTGAATCCTTCTACAAGGATTAATATTGACTCTAATCAGGTCTCGAGGTATTCAAATCATAGTAAGGGAAGCTTGACTTCAAGAGAACTACCGATGTCAAAGAAGATGTCTTTTAACGACGAGATTTCTGATATTTATCCAGACTTACAAATTCTGAGGTCAGCTTTAGATTCTCTATTTTCAAGTACTCTCAGTTATGACAATAAAGTTCTGTTAAACTTTCTTAAAGGGCTTGGAAAGCTTACCATAAATATGCTCGAAGAGAGTTGTGCTTCAAAGTCAATTATTCCTTCAAAGAAAAAAGCAACTGCCATTTTTGGAATTGTGAGAATTCTCGAAGTCTCTCTTATCAACATTAGTAGGATAGATCTAATCTGGGACACTGTTATTATGAATGAACTCGCCTTGCTATCCTCATGCAAGCATGAATGGCTCACAAGTATCGCAATGGAAGCCATATGTGTGATTATTGAAGAACTTTTCGACAAAAGAGTGAGGACAGAGCAGCTGAAGCTTGAAATGGACTTCGAAGAAGCTTATGACCAGGAGGAACTTATTGGATCACAAAAGACTCTTGATGAGAAATGGGTTCAAAATATTTTTGAACCTCTTAACAAACAGATGGATACAGATTTCGATAAGAACAAGATTATTATCTTGATTTGATTGAGTAATATTCTTCAAAGGCACGGAAACTATTTTAACAATGCTCTTTGGGCAAACACATTAAAGACAATTCTCAAGGCAGGCACTTCTAAGAATGTAGAATGTGTGAACCAAGGTTTCAAAAACTTGAAGCTTATTGTAGGTGAATACCTAACTAGGATGTCTGAGGATAATATTCTACTGCTCATAGACATAATCTATCAGTTTGTAGACAATTCAGTAAATAGCATCAATAATAGACTAACTGCTTCAGGCATGTTCTGGAGCATGTCCGATCAAATTTCGAAAAATTTTAAGCAAGGTTTCTTCAAACAAAAGAGTGATGATTCTGATAGCACACCGTATAAAATCCTGAATCCCGGAAATATCCTTACAAGCAACGTTGACCATGAGCTTTTGTGGAAGAAGATATTCGAGAAGATCCATCAGTTGTGCTCTAGCTCGCAAGTGCAGGTAAAGAGACATAGTCTGAAAAACCTTGAAAATATCTTCATGAAGCATGGCTCTTCAATCTCTACAGGTCTCTGCTTTGAAATCCTCAATGATAGAATACTTGACTTGCTTAAGATTAACATCAGGTGGGGCAAGATGCAGAAGGATTTTGAAAACAAAGAACAACACAATGTTGATGAATGGCAAGAGTGATGTCTCATGCTCCTCCAAATTATAATCCGTTGGATTAAGAAATTCCAAGGGTCCTCTGGGACTGAAGAAGTCAAAGAAACTGAACAAGGTGAGCTTTACTCTTTTAATCCTTTGTAGATATTGCAAGTGAATGTGAAGAAGAAATCATGCAAATTTGGTTGAACACACAAGGAGAAGTGCTATCACTTTTACAACTCCTTTCAGGAGACAGCCTCGCTGGAATTTTGATTTGTATTGAAGAGGTTTGTAAAACCAATATTTCTCTGATATTCCAGTCCAAGGAGTGCTCAGAAGGACTTTTGAAAGGCTTCTTAGAAATGTGTCAAAGATCCTGTGAATTCAATCTGAAATTCATGAAGGCAAAGGTCATGGAGGAGATTATAAACATCTTCAAAATTATCTTCGATGCTTCTAACGAGTCTAGAGTCACTCCAAAGATGATACAGATTGTATTTGAGTGAATGAAAACAATCCTCATGGCAATGAAGGATCATGATAAATCATTCACTAATAAGAATCCTGCAAAGCTAACCTTTGATGAGAAGAGAATCTTTGGATTCATCGAACAGCTGGGGTATAACATTAAGAATAACGAGTGCCTGTTGGTTGAAATTATCAACACGTTTATGAAATTCTCTATAATAGATCCTCATCTTGAGGCTTTTGGCAGGAGATCTCTAGTCCTAATCTACAATTTGATCCTGCAAGGAAGAATTACTGATGAAGATATCCTCAAGAAAATACTGCCTCTTCTAGAATCAAGGATAGTGAAATTCATGAGCATTAGATACAAGGTGGACGAGGCTTTAGCTTTAGCGACAAATGTTACTGAAAAGCTCCAAGCACCTGAAAAGTCTGGTGAAGAGTCCAAGGTAGTATTTGTCTTAATTTTTAGGAAAACCCAGCTGAAAGCAAAGAATACATGAGATGATATCTTTCATATGTATCTGGGTGAGTATGGTTAAGGATAATTTGGTATATCCTCAATCCAAAGCAATTGAAAGAGGTGTTACTGGACACAGAAACACAGGAAGAAAAAGATGAAATTGATATCTGTAATATGCATCTCTAATCTCTAGACCTTGGCTTGAAACAGTTCGCAATCATGAAAAGTGACCAGATTGATGAAGTTACTGTTTTTACAGAAGAAATTAAAGAACAGGCTTTCACTATGATAAACTCTTTGTTAGAGAGAACGGATGAAGAAGGGATTCTTTATTCAGAAGAAAAATCCGCTAATCTAGATAAAGCACTAAAGAAAGAGGTCTGGAAAACTTCATTAAAGTTAGATGAGAAAGTGGCTGAGTTTACCAATCTCTGTTTAGTCCCTTATAAAGGAAATGTAAATGATCTAAAGAATTCATAAAATTTCAGAAATTTCATATTTTGATTTCTCACTTATTTTTACACTATAGTCAATCGAACACTTTCTAATTCCCTAAATCCTTGATCGATCATCACCCCTGACACTTTTAAACCCTCTCAAGCTTGCTTATCAACTCTCTAGCTTTATTCTCTGCTTGGCTCAATTTATCAGCTTGAAATTCCCAAATCAGCTATAACTTTTTAAGCCATTCTTAATATTTTCCTTCACAACCTGCCTCATAATCTGACCTCAAATGTATAAATCAGGTTTCAATATTACCGAAAACATCTGGGGTTTTGGGGTTTTGGGGTTTTGGGGTTTTGGGG